CGTAACTTTTGTATTGATATTATTGTGAAAATGCTTAATTTCCTCATAATCGGTTTCCAAAAATGACAAATATGAAACTATTTATTTGCTTTTCGTTTTGAGTTAATTAAAATTGAGAAAATAACACAAAGTTAGGCGCCATTTATTTTTCTCATATGTCAAACAGCTGTAAATACAGCTGATAGTAGATAATGAATCATTGAGATAATTAATCCATCAATAAACACCAGTTTCTAAAACTCTCTCGATACGCTTTGTTAGAGTTTCTGTAGTGATGAATATTATAATGGATGACTTTCATGTCGGATCTAGGTTAGATCAGCCGTTCCATAAAAATGTTTTTTTATTGATTATCCCTAACTTAGAAACATCTTCAATTATCTTTGAAGTTTGACGTAGAATGTGAGAACGAATTCCAATGACATTTAGAGCGACTATTGAGTTTCGATTCGAAATTCGTTTTTTCGAAGATTCGAGAGATTCGTGCTTCGCACCGCATTTCGTATTCGAGTCGAAACTCGAATACCATCTAGTTTCAAGTTGTATACCTAATGAATTTTATACCAAATTAAAGAGGGTCGAAAACTGGATTTATTAGTACTAAATAGTAAGAGTTATCAAAATATATTAATGTCAAACTTACGAAATTTTATGCTTTTTTTAGCATAGAAAATTAGGGCAGCAGCAACTTTTCATAGGGAAGAAAAAAACTCGATTTTCTCAATAAAATTAGTTTTTTTCATTATTTTTACTAACAAAGACGCTTCGAGATATACTCGTTAGACGCAGTTTTTCACGTTGCATCGGATGAGTATATTTCGAAACGTCTTTATCGGTAAAAATAATGAAAAAAGCTAATTTCATTGAAAAAATCAAGTGTTTTTCTTCCATATAAAAAAGCCGAGTTTTTAGAGATTTTTTTTAGGATTTTACAAGTGATTTTAAAAATTTTTTATCTCAGAAAAATGGCTTAAAAAACTTTTGATATATATAGTTTTGTAGAGCTTGACGAGCTCTATCGAACCATGTAAAAAGTATCAAAAGAAAATATTTTACTCTATATTTGAATTACTGGTGCCTTAATTTTCTATGCTAAAAAAAGCATAAAATTTTGTAAGTTCAACATTAATATATTTTGATAACTCTTACTATTTAGTACTAATAAATCCAGTTTTCGACCCTCTTTAATTTGGTATAAAATTCATTAGATATTCAACTTGAAATAATAGCGCTACCTTCCCTAGCAAAAGGTTATGCACAACCATGTATAAACTGAAAATGTAAAATTTTTAAAAAGTCAAAATTTGTTGAAAAAAATTCTTAATTTGCAAAATTTCGATATAGTCTTAGGCGCATAAAGAGCATCTTTAAAAATATTGAAATAGCACAGATTATAGAGAATTTCATGCTCTATCTGATTATGCGCAAAACGTTTTGTTACATTATGAAATAGGCATTTTCCATAATCTTCTTCAACTCTACTGGCATTCCGAATTTCATGCAATTTGAACATACTTTATGAAAACCGGAGTATCCTTATGTTTTAACAGGTTCTTTTGATAACAATCTATAATTGATTCTAAAGTATCAGAAAAGTGTTATGCATCCATTTGAAAAGAGTTAATAATTGTATTCTTAACGTCTTCTAAAATTTTAATTAATAAATTATCCCCTATTTCTTTAGTCGAAGCAGCCTGATGAATGGATCGATTAAAACAGGAAGCCCATTCATCAATTGGAAGAGTCTTCCGTTGTTTAAAATTTTTTAAGGAAAATATCATACCTTTATAAATGATTCGTTCGATTTTATTTTTAATATTTCTTTGTACTATATTCTCACCTCTTATCTTAACTGAAAACTTTTCTTTTACTAATAATGATTGCTCAAATCAGAAGGTATCTTCTAAGTTATTTTCCCTCTATTTTTCTTTGTAAGAAATATCCGAAACATTTTTTTCGTCTAATTTTTCAGTATCAGTACTAGGACTGTCATATTCCTGTTACTTTTACTGGTAAGTGGTAAGTGGTACCACTTACTATTTCGTGGTAAGTGGTACCACTTACTATTTCGTGGTAAGTGGTACCACTTACTATTTCGTGGTAAGTGGTACCACTTACTATTTCGTGGTAAGTGGTAAGTGGTACGTGGTATGACTTACCACTTACCAAGTAACTGGTAAGTAGTACTTACCTGGTAAGTGGTAACTAGGTTGTATAGGTCATGCTGATGAATGAAGACACTCTTAGGAACTTATGCCGTATTATTTGAAGATACTTTTGGGTCCTCATCTCCTACTATTTGCAAATACCCTTAGGTCCTCATATCCTACTATTTGAAGGTACCCTTGGGTACTCATGTCCTATAATATGGAGGTGCCCTTGGGTCCTCATCCCCTACTATTTGGAGGTGCCCTTGGGTCCTTATCCCCTACTATTTGGAGGTACCCTTGGGTCCTCATGTCCTACTATTTGAAGGTACCCTTAGGTCCTCATCTCCTACTATTTCCATGTACCCTTAGATCCTCATGTCCTATAATATGCAGGTACCCTTGGGTCCTCATCTCCTACTATTTGCAGGTACCCTTAGGTCCTCATCTCCTACTATTTGAAGGTACCGTTGGGTCCTCAACTCCTACTATTTGAAGGTACCTATAGGTCCTCATCTCCTACTATTTGCGGTACTCTTAGGTCCTCATGTCCTATAATATGAAGGTACCCTTAGGCCCTCATCTCCTACTATTTGGAGGTACCCTTGGGTCCTCATCTCGTATAATATGGAGGTACCCTT